CCCACTGAGTCTGCTTTGCGATGCCCTGGTCGAGACGGGAGGGGTCGAAGACGTTGCTCATGCGGTCGTTGAGAGTGTCGATGACGTCGACACCCGAATATCCGGCCGAAGAGTCGTATTCGCCGCTGGCGCTGCCGGTGGTGGTGCTGACATCTGAAACCTCAGGGGGAGAGCCGGCAATGCGGGAGACGGGGTAGTAGTTTGCACCGGCCGGCGCCTTGGAGGGCATGTTGATGGGAAAGGAGGCATTGTGGGCTCTCATGGCAGTCTCCATTGTGATATGTAGTACTGGTGCAGCTATGCTGATGGCGGCAGGCAGCTAGGGTATATAAGATGGCTATGGCTGTGGCAGGGTATCAAGGTGAGCAAGCTATGGATGGGAAGTATAGACGGATGCAGGAGACAGAAGACAGGAACCGGAGGAGGCAGGCTGCTACTAGAGTCAATGGCAAGAGGAAGAAGTGCTACGGCGAGAAAATAAGGAAGAAGGAGGAGGACGAGCAGGAGAGGAAAAGGAGCTCCCTTTTATACCCTTCGCTGCCTCCCTGGCCTGCCCGAAGAGGGATAGCCCCCTTTCTTCCTCTCTTCCCTTCTTCCTTGTTCCTCCGATGACGAAGAGGAAAAGAAAAAAAAAAAAACGCCCCCCCTTTTTTTTTTCTTCGCCCTTCTCTCCCCCGTCCGTTCCCATCCTGATCCCATCCCGATCCCTTATAGCCCGCCCATCCCCCCTGCGCCGCCCGCCGATTCGCTGCTGGCACTGGCTCAACCCCGCCTCGCCCCCCGCGGAGTCCATGCCCAGCTGCTCGCGGATTCGCCAGTGGCCGGCGCTAGAGCTGGGGGGAGGGGGGGGGGGGGGTTTGCAAGAACAGGATGAATGTAGCCAGAGAGACGCTGGAAAGTAAAAAAAAGGTTGACAGAGGCCAGGCCGGGGTTCTGGCGGCGAGCGACCAAAGGCCCAGCAAGCCCATCCTGTCAGAGGCCAGCGACACCCTCCATCAGCGGTGCGGATCGGTCGTTCATCGGGCGTTGGCCGTTGGGCTCTCTCTTTCTCTCTCTCTCTGTCTCTCTCTCTCTAGGGATTAGAAAACGACGGAGTTTGACGGTTTCCTTTTGACTGCCAATCGATCGGTGGGAGAGACAGACGATATACTTCCCTTTTTTTCTTCTCTTCTTTCTTTCTAATTCTATTTTTTTTTTCCCTCCCCAATTTTTCAATATTTTTCAATGCTGTTTAGGGGATTACTTTTTTATTTCGTGAGTTTTCGGTCTTGTTGTATTTGATATTGCGGTTTTTTCGGTGTAATCTATAAAGGCTGCATTGTAGTTAAGTTACAGAAACAAGGGTGAGACCGAAGGTTGGCAGTCAAGAAGGACTCTATATCGTCGTTGATCAAGCTGTCAAGTTTTGATAAACCAACTTAACAAGCTAACTAACTAGCGATGTGCTCCAACGGTCTGACGGGCTGCATGAGACTAGCAGGCGTATTGTCTCTACCGATCATTGGCTGCTACTTAAATGCTGCCTGACGGTCGGTTTTTTCGCTTTGAAAACTGCGGCCAGACGAAGTCAAGAGGGAGAAGAAAAAAGGCAAGTAGATAAAGATTCTTCATACATCGCTGGGATTGCAGATTTCAATCTCATCCGGGCTCCCTTGTCTCTTGCATGGCTAGCCGGTTGTGTACGATATAGCAGAGGGTACTAGGTACTTTTTATATAAGTAAATGTATAAGATATCGTAATTTATAGTCCCGATCTTTCTCTTTTCTACTCCATTTTGCGTCCAGTAAGTGAGCCAGAGGATATAGCAGCAATAAAAAAAAAGAAAAAAGAAAAGGCCAATGTATAGAAAGGGAATAAAAACTAGCCACCGGTCGCAATTTCCTCCCATATAACCTATGCACCGATTGAAAGCTAGGACAAGCGTAAGGCCAGAGAGGACGGGGTAGAGGACGCAGGACGTAGAGGGAGGGGGAGGAACGGGGGGAATGAAAAACCACGAGGCTGTGTGTATAGAAGAAGACCCAGAACATGGAAGCAGGCGAAGCAGGAGACGGGATGTATGTAATGCAAAGAGATAGTAGAAGAACATGGCGGAGGAAAGGCCATTGAAAGAAACCTCATTAAAAAGCCCGGATTTTTGCCCTTTTTCCCCGAAGGAGCCAAAGAACGGTGAAGTAAAAAAGGAAAAAAAAAAAAAAAGGAAAAGGAAGAGGAATAAGAGTGCGTAAATTACGATTTGCGGTCCTTTAGCAGGACACGAGGAGCGCTAGGGTCCAACAGCTCCATCATCATCTTGCCCAGCTCGTTATGCTTGATCGGCTTGGTGACGTAGTCGTTGAACCCGGCATGGGCAGCATCGTCGATCTGGTCTATCATCGCATTGGCGGAGAGCGCCATGATTGGGATCTGTGGGAAGTGGTTGCGGTGTTCCCACTTTCGGATCTCCTTGCAAGTCTCATACCCGTTTTTAACGGGCATTTGGATATCGCACTAGAGAAGCAATGTTAGATCAAGAAAGCTCAACAATCGGAGGCCAAAAAAAAAAAAAAAAGAGTAGACATACTATTATCAACGAGTAATAGCCTGGATCTTTGGAGAAGACCATGTCGACGCACTCTTGACCATTCCCGGCCGTCTCAGAGACAAGCTTGACTTTGTCGAGGTATTTCAGCATGACCTAGTCATCAAAGTTAGCAACAATGGCACTATTCAGGCATGAATATCAGGCAGCAAGGACGCACCGTTCGATTCGTCTCGTCATCTTCAACGAGCAAGACTCTATAGCCTTTGTTGCCAATGACCTCCTTGACGATCTTGGACATATTCTTGAAGCTATTGTTAACCTCACGTGCCATGTCTTGGTTTCGGTCCTTGCTCAGTTCACGTTCGCTCTTGGGATCGAATATCAACGAAAATGCACTCGGCTTGACAGGCTTGGGGACAATAAACACGCTTTTTCCGGCTGCTAGGAGTTCTTTGTACACTGTCGTGACGTTACGTTTGAGGTAAATGTCTGCTATGACCACAAGCGTCGGGGTTGGCGAGCCGTCGGGATTAGGTTGAAGAAGGGTGGCCATTATCTCAGCCACTTCATTGGCGTCTGGTAGGCCGAGGACCAGGTGTGTCAGAGGGTCGGTGTTGTTGGCTCGTAGTTCTTTCCAGTCGTCAATGTCGAGGATACAGGTCGTCTTAGACTGTACACCATGGGGCACAACTTGTTCGATATGCTGCTTGATCGCTTCTCGAGCATAATCGAACGGACAGATTATCACAGTATTGTACGCCTTGTCCATGTTGAGGGGTTCAACTGTTCTCATTGACGAATATACTGTTGGTGGCGCCGCAGTGGAAGTGTAGTATTCAAATTTCGGTTTTGCGATAGGAAGTTGTTTTTCTTCGCCCGTATCTACAGGTGCTGTAGGTGGTCGCGACAGCTTGTCATCTTCCGGGATCTCAACTACCTGGCCCTGCGTTGGGGGCCCGTCTGTAGCTAAAGTAGATTGCGGCGGCGGCGCCCCAGCCATCACATAAAACGAGAATTTGGCCCCTCGCCCTTCTTTGCTGGTAGGCGTCAGCTGGCCTCCGTGCATTTCTACTAGCTGCTTTGACAGGAAGAGACCCAATCCACTACCTGCGTGTTGTTGTGACCCATTACTTTCGATCTGGCTAAACCGTTGCATCAGGCGTTCCGCGTCCGTCGAACTGAACCCTTTGCCGGTATCCACAACTTCAAAATTGAGCAGAATTTCAGACGGTTTCGTTTTAACATTAGGATCGACATGGATTGAGCAACGGGTACAAATTTCGCCTTGGGAGGTAAATTTGACTGCATTACCCATTAGGTTGATGAGGATCTGGCGGATACGGAACCGATCGCCTAGTATTGTCGAAGGGACATCAGTGTCGACAAGATAATTCAACTCCAGCCCTTTATCAATTGCCCTGGAACCAATGGTGTCGATGACATCTTCCAGTACAGTTCGTACGTGGAACCACTGCCTAACAATATTCATCTTTCCAGCTTCTACCTTCGATACGTCAAGGATATTATCTACCAATTCACGCAGATTCGTCGAACTGTTCTGAATCGTATCCAACATCCGTCGCTGGTCGTTGTCAAGTAGTGTGTCAAGTACGAACGGAATGGTACCTAGAATTCCATTAAGCGGCGTCCTAATCTCGTGAGACATGTTGCTGAAAAATTTCGTTTTAGACTCCATCTCCCTGTTCAACTTTTGCAGAGCAGTATTGAGCTCACGCTCCAATATCTTCCGGTCGTTAATGTCCGTACATGTGCCATACCACGATGCCTCGCCGCTGCCGAAGTCAGGTGTCTCAACTTTCACCAAACGAACAAGGTGCCATCGGAAATCTCCCTTTCGGGACCTAAGCCTGATTTCAGTAGTATATGAATCTCGGCCGTTCTCATCACGTTGAATTGTAACGATATCCCGCTTAACAAGTTCCTGTAGTGCAGGCGTGACTCCTTTACCAAATACCCTGAGCGAGTTATCATATTGCTGTGAAGACGGAGACGGTGATGACTGCGATGAATTCTTTCGACACCTTTCAGCCTCCTTCAGTGTTTCAGTCAGGTTTCCATTTGACATAATACGTGCGAATTCCGGTATATCGTTTGATTCTGGAATAACCTGTGGAGGTGATAGGATACCACATTTCTCCAGATCATCGCGATGAATGTACTTCGCAAATCCTAAAGTCATTGCTTCATCAAGAGACTGGCCGGTATACAGCTCCCACTGCTCATTTACGGAGATCAACCCACTATACTCTGCAGCTTCAAAGACAACCTGAGGAATCGAATTAGCGAGAGCTCTGTACTTGACATCTGTCGCAAACATTTCTCGTTCCTGTGCTGCTTTGCGTTCGGCAACATGTTGCTCATGAACGTCTAAAAACGAACCGATCCAATACAGGAGCTCACCCGTTCCTGAAATCAGTGGGTTGGCGCGGAAAATAAACCAACGATATTCAGATTCATCGTTGAACCGTTTCACTCGCACGCGCTCAGTAAACTGCGATCCAGTACGTAATGCTCTAGTCCATTGCTTCAATACCTTTTCATACTCGCTGGAATGAACGTTCTGCCATGGGTCACGAACACGGGGTTCCATAGGCTGGCTACGCCGATACGCATCGAACTTCGCATTGGTCCAGATGACTTCGCCAGTGTGTGGCTTCGCCAGAAATAGATGTAAAGGTATCGAGTTGAGCATAAGCTGCGCAACTGTGTCTGGAAAGGGACGAGAAGTCGCCTCACGGTGCCATTGAGCGGTGAAGGAGCCTGTTGACGAATGACGTGAGAAGTCTGCAAGCATCTGTGGGGTATTCTGATTTGCTTTTGACGGAGCTTCGGTAATCGAGGGAGTATGCACCAATCCTGGGTCTCGGGAAGTTAATTCATCGTATGCAGCTTTCTGCTGTGACAATGGTATGACAATGGCCAGCCCTTCGTTTGGGGTTCCCTGAACGCTGTGGTTGGACATTGCCGACGTTGCGGCCGCATTATTCTCCATGGTTGGTGAGTTCTTGGCTCTGAAATATCCTTCACCCGCCGCGTCACCTCCCAACTGAGTTAAAGGACTTGCATAGTTTACATGTCCTGTTAGGCCATTGATGAGTTCGAGTTCGCTGTTGGCGTCTGAGAACGTACCACCAAGGCCCAAAAGGTGGCCATATCGCTCAACGGTAGGGCTGGCATTTTGTTTCTCCAGCTGACTATATTGCTGAGCAAGGCAAAAGGATGTCGTAAGATGGGGAAGTAATAGGGTCAGGGAGTTCCGAAGATTAGCTGGATATGGAATTATGGGCGCTAAGAAGGAAATAATAGCAACTGGGAAACGGAGTGTATCCGACCTTCCTTGTCGCGACGATGCTGAATGAATAAGAGGGATATGGATGACAGTCTTTGCACGATCTATTCCTATGGCTTCCAAGGGCGCTGTTTCGGAATAATCGTGCGGTGGTGGGCTTGAGGCGAATGCATCTTCATTCACTTCATTATATGTTTCGACAAAGAACGGGTTGATATCGGGTTTTAAGAGGGGGGCTGGTGACGGAGCGGGCGACTGCGACCAAGGAGAAGGAGGAGTTTGCTCATACTCCTCATATTTTTGTGCTGGTGGTGAAGGGTCAAATGGGATCTGGTACCGGTGATCCATTAGAGTGGACTTCGGGATACCCCTGCGTTCTTGGGCAGACACTAGACTAAGTGAGAGCGGAGTCGAGCGGTGGGAGATCATGGATGTTTTCAGCGGTGCCCCTGGTGTCTCTGAGCGTGGGGTACGCTGGAGGATATCCTTATGTTTGTGAATTGCCATGTCAGGCAAATTATCTTGCATAGGGTCATCAGCGTACTCCCTCGTAAGCGCAACAGGTGTTGTGCGGCCAAAAAGCTTCACCACGCCTGTCCGCTTAATCAACGGTTCAGGTTCGACTTCAAGGGCTCGAGGGACAGGGAAAACGACTGCAGTTGGGCTCGGTGGTCCCGAAGTAGGGCCTGACCCAGGTCCAAACGCGGGTCCTGGCAACTCGCCGCCGCTAGGTCGACGGGCCTGGTCCCGAGGCTGACAGGTCCCACTCGATGGAACAGTGTAATCGCATACATCGGCCATGATCTCATCCTCACGCATGTGCTTGCGCGGTTTCCTAAATTCTCCGCTCGAACTTTTTCGCCGCGAATGGCGGCCCTTTAAAGACGTAGGGGTTCCAGGTGCATCCTCGTTCCATTTCTCTGAATAGGATGCGTGACCAGCAAATGAATGACGGCCCATCAATTTCGGACGTCGACTGCCAGTAACGGACTTGGTATACTTGAATGTGTTGCCGTCCTCCTTGGTAGTGTCGCTGAAGCGGCCTTTGGAGGACTTTTCACATTCCACCTTGCTGGTTGGGAGCGATGAAACGAGAACAGATTCGTTACCATATGTACTATATGTAGCCTTCTGCTGCCACGGGACGTTTTCCAGATCGGTTGCATCGCCAGGAACCGCGAGAGTAAGCCTTTCAGCGCCGTAGTGAGTTTTTAGGATGGGAACTACATTGGACCACCATCCGTCAAGGCCAGGGTCGGCGTTAAGAGCAAGAGTGATATCATAGAGGTTGGGAGTAGGATAAGGGGAATTGCCAGTGATTGCTGGGGTCCCAGGAGGCAAGAAGTCCGCTGCGGCAGCCGTTATAGAGGATGCTGGCATCTCGTTCATCCTCTTCAGGGTATCGGCCGTGTACGGGTGCCTAAGAGATCGTCGTTTCGTTCTTGTTTTTTGAGGAGAATGTAGGTATGGCGGATGAGGCTGGCTGTGGAATCCCAATCCATTCGCTGTCGCATTGGCATTTGAATTGGCATTCAAGACCGATGATGATAAATGAGCATTTCCTTCGCCAATGGCTCTGCTTGAATGTGTGTCGAACGGTGATGGAAGGGTGGTGACTAACGACCGTTGTGGCAGGCTTGGTGGTCGTGTTGATCGCGAAGATGTCGGGGATCTTGTAACGGACGGCTGAGTTAACTGAGTAACCTTTTCGTCGGAGGTATTTGGAGTCATGTTGGTATCCGAGTCGGTGAATCCAGAGTCGGTAGAGACAGACTCTTGTGTGTAGTAGTAGTGCTGCTGCTGCTGCTTTTGCTGTTGGTGATACTGCTGTTGGCTCATGATGGTTTCACCCATGCGTTTCCGCAACTCGTCTAAGACAGAACCGCCCAGATTCTTACTCTGAGACGATTGATCAAGCCCAGTGTCGGTCAGGTTGAGATCTGGTAGGCTAGCAGGAGGCGCCGCATCGTTGTTGTTTCCGCAGGTAGCAAACTCCGAAGGGCGCGAGAAGGGTCTGGGAGTGTTGTTGGTATCACGACGCGGTACTGATTGCGTTAGGTCAGAGACGAGAATTGGTGATGTTTGGCTCTGCTGGTAGTCCTGCTGGAGTTGCTGATGATCTTGTTGAGGGCAGGAGAGACGACGGTGGTGATGGTGCAGGCCAGGAGATGTTATAGAAGCGAAAGGCTCAACAGGCGAAGGTAATGGTGGAGTCCGCATGCTGACATGCCTCCCCTGGAAAGCTGATGAAGAGGGCAAAGTCCACTGGTTGTGAAACTGTCCTCCGTAGCGGTTTTCTCTCTCTCTCTCTCTCTCTCCTCCACCCCGTTGGCGGCGGAGGTGGCTGCTGTTTGCTGGCCCTAGGCGGAGAAGGGGCTTACGGCGTAGTAGGTACAGGCGAGCGACAGGCGGGTAGAAGCAGAGCAGCCATGCATCTCTCGGGGAAGAATGCAGGGAAAGAAAAGAAAAGAGACGACAGGAAAAAAAAAAAGTGGAAAAGCTGAGAGATTTGATGTTTCTTTTCTTCTTCTTGCCGTCGTTGTCGTTTGTATATACGGGAAGAAGTCAGCGAAGAAGATGGAGTTGAGGTTTTTTGGTGGAAATTCCGTTTTCGGTAATTCCTGACTTCTCTTCTCTTCGTCTTCTTTCTCGCAACTACAGCGGAAAAGACAACCGCAAATAAAAGCAAACCAACACAACTTCTAAAGTAAACTAATGCTCTCTCCCGCTCTTCTTCTTTTCTTCTTCTTCTTCTTCTGCTTCTTGTCCCCCTAGTCCTTGGCGGGTCCCTTCTTGCTCCGACTAAGCTACGTCATCGCGCTGCCCCCATACAATCTCCTCCGTTACAAACAAACCATCAGGTTCACTAATATTATTAACTGCTAACTGGACTAGCAGGATGGAGTTGTGTTTGGGACAAGCGCCAAAGCTTCTCCTCGCCATCTCTTTCGACGCCGTTACAGAATCAAATTCCGACAGAGAGGTTAGCCAGCAGGCCTGGCAAGAGACGGATGGGCGCCATGGAGAGGGGGGAAGGGGCACATCCCGGGACCCTGCCTATATGCTGGCTGACTTTTCCGTCACAGTACATATTCAGCCTTGCATTGGATCAGGATAGGACAGGAACACGACAGAAAGGGAAAAAAAAAGGTGATATATAATAAAGGGGGAAGAGAATTTCCTATCAGGCGCCCTCTCCGCTGGACCAGTGGTGGCAGCAGCCTCTCTCACACTCTTCGTCCTACCAATCCAATCTACCTGGGTTGTTCGATAGTTGCTGGAACTTCAAACAACGGCCGTTGGCTCTCCTCCTAAAGCTGGTAACTAACTATGGGGTACGGAGTACGGAGTCTGTGTTAGTGGCTGCTCAACATCGTCACTTGGGCAGTCAGACATCGTGCGTATTTATTTTTTTCTCACCATCTCCCTTTTCTCGATGTAGCACCATCTACGTAACTGAGCGCCTGTCGACATATACAATTCTTCGACCTGTACAACGCTTTCTTCCACGTATCGTACACGGCACCGGATTTCCTTCTCAATACGTTCAGGTGCATCTCTCCGTCTGCCTCGGGTTCTCACTTTCTCTATCCAGTCCAGTCTACTATGTACCCATCCCCTTCATTTCTATTCGACCCACAGAGCAAGGGGGAGAAGAAGGCGAAGGGGGTAGGATCCACCATCGCCGTTAAAAATGAACTGTCGGTGTCTTACATAGTACAAAACAACACACACTAGCCACGGAGAAAAATCACAAACCAAGGAACGATTTCCCTGGAGAAGAGGCACAGCATTGAGGGAAATGAGTAAGAAGAATTCAGATAAGGCTGAGATCGGCGGTATCAACAAGCCATCGACATGCAAAGTGACATAACCAGGTGGTAGCAAATAAAGGTGGCCTGGGATTAATCCGGAGTGCAGGGCCAATGTTAATCGTCGAAAGTTCCTTGTTCGGCGGTCCTCTTATCATGCACGCTGATATTCCTTCCCCTTCCGTGGACCGTGGTATATTTAATGCACCAACGCCTTCCCTTCATTTAAGCGGTCTTCCAAGCGGTCTTCCGGCGGTGAGCACAAGGCTAGAGATCACTAAATACGAGTAGTGAGGATAATGCCTGTATCCATGAGGTAGGTAGCGCCTGAGATGTGCGATGATTTGCATTTTTACTTTTTTGGCTTTCAGCCGTGTTAAATAATTTAAATAACGGTGAGCACTCTCCATGGTGATGACAGACCATGACAGCAGTGCAGTATACGTACTCGTATAAGGCATTCATCAAATGCGATCCCTCCACCCCCTTACCTTCTCTCATCGTGGGGTGGTGATCGATTGCCAAAGTCCACACAACTCGCCATTACATCTCTCTGCTAGTCATACAGCATTTCATCAACATTCCAGACGAAGCGTCGGCCGCACGCAGTATTCCTCATATACAGGGCAAATGGGAACCTATCCCGAGAATCCGTTGAACACGTTATTAGCGCTTTACCCGGCACTGTGGGCTGACAAGAGGAATAGATATATTTAATTGGGACGTGGCTGTCGACAAGTGATGGTGATGGATGTTGATGCCGGGAAGGCCCATTTATTGGGGGAGAAACTATCACGAGTACAAAAAGGATGGAAATACTTATATAAACGGCATGACGTGTAACTGGCTATACAGTTTCCGTCTTGAATGTGCTGACCCGTTGGATAGGCTATTAAGAGCCGGACAGGACGGCCTGATTGTTGGTTGGATCTAACAGCTGCCAGGCTAGAGTCCGTTGGGAATTAGTTAGCTCATGTTTTGCTTTCTCTTTCATCCTCACAATGCCGTCTCCCGAATTTTGACACCATAAGGGCGTCTGTCCGTTTACCCAAACGTATTCAAACGAAATATTCAAACGGAGTATTTGAATGTGGCTTTTTCAGGGGTAAACGGAATCAATGGACAAAGATCCTGAGGTTAGATAGCGGACAGGGCCCATCGTTGTCGAACAGCATTCCGGTAGACGGTGTTGAGGCTTCGTAGAATTAACCAACTTGCCAACCGGATATTTCGACGGAAGAAAATAGGGAGATTGATAGTTAAGGGCCATGACAGTCGATAATTGCTTCTTCGGTCATACATACGACTGTCATACCCTTGTGTGATGGTCAAATAGCCGTAGTTGGAGAGATTGAGGTCAAATATGACTATTGATATTTCTTTGTTTAACGGCTCAGCTTATGCGACAAGAGATTTGGGGTAGCAAGCCTGTATCCAGGGGGAAGTTCGTCGACCCAGGGGTAAGTTCAGATCAATTCTGTGACTGAGAGATACGTCAGAGGAGTAGCAGATGTCGAGAAGGTCTGAATAGATCTTTTGTCTAGATATTCAACGCGAGAATAAAACAAAGCGATGGTGTCGACGTAAATCTTCGATTTTTATCTCGATCCCGATCTTAATTTCTCGATCTTTGATATTTCACTTTCGGTCTCTCCAAAGCGGTCACCCTCTTTCGGACATGGCCAAAGGCGGCAGAAAGCTCTTTTTCAACAACATCCAAAACGATGACGACAACAACAACAAGCAACTAGAAGAAAAGACGTGAGACAAAAAACAAGAAACCCCGCTAGACTTCTAGGATGGAATTGGAGTAAAGAGAGGGCTCTAGGTATCCCCTGTCTTCGGAACCTCTGATCAGTTAAGCTAGCCCACTAACCCCAGATGTAGTTAACTACAGGCTATCGTTCAATTCCACAATGACATGCATAAGACATGCTAAACAAAATCAAGGACAGGTTTCGGAGCCATCGAGTTAGGCTCCATATACGGGAGTATATGTATCTGCTTCCCCTTGAACGATAGGCCCCTGCTTCGGTTAGCTCGCCATTTCGGTCCTTGGTTATGGCGCTTGAGCTATCGTCACCACGGCCTGGAAGTATCGGAGCGCACAACTCTTCTCCCAGAAGACCAAATCTAGGGCGCTTTGCCTTCTTGCCGTATCCATACACATTACGGAATTTGCCCGTTAGATATATATACCTACCCAAATTTGACCTGTTCACCCCAAGGCCCCGTCTAAACTTTTCAAGTGCGCCTCGGAGCCCGTGACCCATCGTAGCCACAAGCGACTTGCGTCAGTGGCCTGGTGGCTGGAATTTATAGGCCTAGATCCTATATCTCATGTTGAGGACAATCGTTCGCTCAAACCTCTCCCGAAAGTTGTATCTTCAAGACACATGATTTTTCAGCCTTTCCTTGTTTGAACCACCGATATCCAACAACACTTTGTTCAGAATCTTAACAACGAGCATGTTATCTCTAAAGCAGTGATCTTGGTCCACGATATGACCCTCCTCCTTCAGTTGTTGCCGCTTTGCTGCTGCTCTATTGCACTTTTGCCCACCTAAACATCAAGGCAGTTACCGTCCGCCGCCAAAAATGGAAGAGAGCCGCATTCTTGGGGAGGACCTCCATATCCTCCCCGAGCGATTGCTTGAACGTTTATCACAAATCCCAGGTTACTCCTGGGATCAAAACTTCACACCCATTCAGTCCTCCTACGACCACTGGCACTTCACTGGAATAAAATATTCCGCTGACTCCGAAACCACTTCGACCCAGACTGCTGCCTCTTCTTCCTCTCGATCGAAAGCCTCTGCATCATCGCATAACTCCCCGGAGTTGGAACCAAAGTCGTTTTTCCCCTCACAGTGGCGAAAGGCACCCAGCGAAGCTGGCAGCGAAATTACCTCCCCGCGCGAAGAAGCTGAACGACCGTGGCTTCCTGTCATTGCCCGTGTGTCCGGCCAAGTTGTTCGATTAGAGCGCGAATTTCATATCCTACGTTCCATAGTTGAAACCTCCGATCCAGAATGTAAACACACAGTCCGCCCTATCGATATCATACATCTTGCTCGTCAACCAGAGGACAGAGGGCTGCTTCTCGTAACGATCTACGAATATATATCACCCAACTACTTAAGGAGGTTGATTCCTGGCGGGCCAAACTCCTTTCAGATGGAATACACTACCACCGCTTCATCTGCCCCCAATATTGAAGAGGTTCCATTGCAAGCATTTTTTGATTTTGCCATTGGGGCATGTGAGTGTCTTGAGTTATTACATTACGGCTTGAAGACAATTCATGGCGAAATCCGTGGCGACGCTTTCCACTTCGCTGAAGACACTAGAGCTGTTAGGTTGATGAATACTGGAAATGGACCTAGATCGTTCGATAACGCCCTGGGTGACGGCTGGGCAGTTTTGTCTAAGGAGATTGGCGTAAGAAACAAGTTACAATTCATCGCGCCTGAACAGACCGGCAGATTGCCAACGGAGCCTGACAGCAGAACGGACATATATGCACTTGGTATTTTATTATGGATTATGCTCGCTCGGAAGCCGGCTTTCGAAGGTAAAGATCTTGTCGAGGTAGTGCAAAATGTTCTAAGCAAGAAGCTATCTCCTATATCGAGTTTGCGTCTCGACATGCCTGACGCATGCTCAGCTGTTATCCAAAAAATGACGAAAAAACAAATCAGCGAGAGATATCATACAATCTCAGCAGTTAAATGGGATTTTCAACTGATTTCGAAACTGCTGGGCGATGGGAATGCAAATGCACTTGCGGACTTTCAAGTAGCTCAGCGGGATGTTTCGTCCTTTTTCACGTTACCCTCTGGAATGTTCGGACGAAAGGTGGAATTCAACAGAATCATGAGTGTGGTAAACAAAGCCAACAAACGTCGACAAGCCGCCACCACCACTAACAAATCAAGCCTGTACACAATAAGTTCTACTTCCTCAATTTCTGGCGACAAGCTAGATAGCGTGGAAGTCGATGCCTCCAGTGATTCGGGTTCTTTGGGAGCGCCTATTACCGCGTTCAAGCCGAGTTCAACTTCTCATTCTGTGCTACCCTCTCAAGATTCTATGCTTATTGCTGAACCGGGGGCTATAGGTGGCAAATCTGCACTCTTATCAAGTCGTATGAAGAGCCCAACGGATTCACGGATGTCATGGGAATTTATTGAACGCGACTCCCCCAGTATCGCGTTCGACACCAGTACTTTAGCGCGGCGCAAGGCTGCTCACACTAAATATCGACATGGTGGCCGATGCGAGGTTATAACTGTATCTGGCCCAACTGGAATGGGAAAATCGGACCTGATCCAGCGCTTGCTGCCCGAAATCCGTAAACTTGGTTATGTTGCCGTTGCAAAGGTTGACCGACAATCTAAACTGCCGTTTGACCCCTTTCTCAAGGCTCTAGCCGGCTTGCTGCGCCAGATATTTTCGGAGCGTGATATTTCAACAGAATATCATAATTCGATCCGCGCTACTCTGCAACCTATTTGGCATACTCTTCATCAGTTTCTGGACCTTCCGTATCAACTACTCTTCCAGGATAATGTTGAATATGAGACGCCAGTACACCAGAGGGCCTTCCAACCTCTGAAAGGACTGAAGGAGGGTATAGAAGAAACATTTGGCGTCGGTGCTCCAGAATTTACCAGTCTCAGCCAAGGGCAATCTTCTCACGACTTTTGTCAAGGGCCCACGTCCTCAGGGATCAATTTTGTGGAAATCGTGATTGATGTGCTTAGGATTATGTCTTTGTACGAAGTTATCTGCATATGTGTGGACAACGCACATTTTGTAGACGATGAGTCTGCTGGTTTGTTACTCGACATTATGAAACACAAAGTAAGATGCGTCGTAATTCTTACTGGCCGCACCGACGACATTATCTCGCCTATCATGAAGTCCTTTTTTGAAACAGAAGGCCCCAATGTTACAAACGTGGCACTGGAACCACTTACGGAAAACGATATACTTGAGTTTGTTGCAGCGACAATGCACCAACCTTCGAACAGTTCCTTGGTGCCGTTAGCTGCTGTCGTCCAAGAGAAGAGTCGCGGAAACCCTTTCTATGCCCGCATGATCCTCGAAACGTGTTATCGCAAGAACTGTATCTGGTACTCCTGGAGAGATGCTGCGTGGGAGTTTGACCTTGACCGGGTGTTTTCCGAATTCGTGGTACCTGGGTACGGCGAAGGAATCGGAACCAGCTTTGTTGTCAAAAGGTTGCAAGAGATGCCATCTGCAGCGCGGTCAATTGTCCTATGGGCTGCTTTGTTGGGTACCACCTTTTCCTTTTCCTTGGTGCAGAAGCTACTCTCAGGGGAGTTTCTCTATGAAGTTGGAGGAGAGGACAAGGATGATGTGACCTGCCCAGCACAAACAAAATGGACACAAGATAGCAGTGATGTTGTGGCAGGCCTTCAGTTTCTACTTCAGGCATACATTCTCGTTCCTGGAGAGACCGATGATGAATTCAGGTTAGTTTTATATAATTGTGCCCGATGGTATTGAACCAAGTTAACTAACATATAATAGGTTCTCCTCTGATCACTACGCCCAAGCAGTCGCTTCTATGCGGCAGTGTCACAATTTAGAGAAAATGCATTTTATTATAGCACAAACTATGATGAAGTACTTACCTGATGATGAGGCTACAATGCATCTTAAAGCACGCCATATTGGGCTCTCCTCAAAATTAGTTAAGGAACGGATTCCTATACGCACTGCATATCGTGATGTCTTGTACCGAGCAGGACTGTCAAGTTACAATTCAGGTGCCAAGGCAATGGCCCTCAAACATTATCAACAATGTATTTTCCTTCTACAAGACCACCCTTGGGCTCCCGATACTCCAGACACATATTACGATGAGACCAGGGAGCTTTACATACAAACTGCAGAAATGCATCTCGCCTTAGGGCAAACAGATGAAACATTGAACGCCCTTAACGTTGTTTTTGAGAATGCACGCACAGCACCTTGCAAGGCCAGAGCTTGGACATTGCGGAGCCGAGTTCACTCTGTCTTAGGAGATATTTGCGCAGCCTTGGACGATTTATTCACTTGTCTAGAGGAGCTTGGCGTGAAGTTGAACCGCGTAACGACATGGGAGGAGAGCGACGAGGCATACAGAAAACTTGCGGAATATCTCCGGACTATTGATTTTAGTACCCTGTTATCGCGACCCCTCAGCAACGACCGAGCTTTAATGGCAGCTGGTGCGGTGATGAACGAAGCCATATCTGTTTGCCTGTGGCTTGACCCTATGATGTTCTTCCATTTAACGGTGGAAATGATGCGTATTAACCTCGAGTACGGGGCTATGACGCAGGTAGTTTACCTGTACTGTCAACTGTCAGCGATCGCATTGAGTCGTTTTAAGGACATTGAACTAGGTCTGAAGCTCAGTGATGCCGCTCTATCGATCCTGCATGTCACCAACGACCCATCAGCAATCGCGCGTGGCATTACGATTCATAACTATTTTATCAACCACATGCGAGAACCGGTAGCTACGATAATACCCTTCTTAGAAACGTCAACGGAGGCCGCTTTCTTCATCGGCGACCGTTATTATATTCTCCTTAATATATCCTCGATGGTTGTTACTCGGCTCGCTCTTGGCTACGATTTAGGAGAGATCGAGGATCTTTGCAATGATGCAACTGAAGGGATTAATGATTGGGCCCATGATATTCGTGGAGGAGTTAGCATAGTAGCAGCCCGGTACGTCTTATATAACTTATCATCATATGTGACAGATATTAACATATAATAGGCAAGCGGCACGTGCACTTCAAGGGAAAACAATTGCTAGTTCGGCAGACCTTGCTCTATCTGATGCCTATCATGACGATCAAAGATACCAGGCAGAGCTCATGGAACGGCTTCCAGGAAGACCCCATGTTCTGGTTATGTATCGCAGTATCATTTTTATTCCCCTGTACGCTTTTGGTCACTATTCAAAGATAATGGAACTGGGGGCCGAAATGATCGATGAATTACGCGGTGTCTTTTCGTTAAGATTAGCCACTCAGGTTTATTTTTATCTTTCGCTGGCTACTCTCTCCTTGCATCTCGAAGACCCCCAGCGGCCAGATTTAGAGTCTAGCATTAACACAGTTGAACGGTACAAAAAAGAAATTGACTATATGCGAAATGCTTGCGATGCAAATTATGGAATGTGGTCGTTACTGGTCAAAGCTTTGCTTTGTGAGGTGAGGAAGGATTTTCAAGGAGCGTTGGTAGCCTTTGAGGTACGTCCGGGTTCACCCTTGTGAATTATGAATATTTTTTTTATCTAACCATTAGGAATTGCAGGAGGCGTTGGACCATGCTCAAATTCACAACTGGCCAATCGAAGAAGCACTCGCTTACGAACTTCAAGGTAAAGAGGCTTCTGCATGATGTCGTGTGACAATTATAAGTGTTATGCTAACTACTCCCGCATAGTTGATTTCCTGGTCCGGCGGGGTGCTAAGCGTGCAGCGCAAATGATGCTCCAACCAGCTATTTCTGTGTGGAATAGAATTGGAGCCTCCAGAAAGGCAAGGCAACTAACGGATAAATATGAATGGCTAACGAGGATCGGAACAGTCTTAAGAACTAATGATGTTGGCTGCCAAACAGTCGACTCACTTCTCGGCGTTCAGCAGACTAACGTTACCGAACCTGTCTCTGAATCCCATGGTCTCAATTCACTTGAGAGTGGCCTTAACCAAAAATGGCTTGAGCAAAACCAGAAGCCAACTGAAGGACCTTCCGATATAACTGGGGTTGGGTTAGACATTATCGACTTATCTACAATCATTGAGTTTAGCCATGTAATGTCATCCGAACTCGAGGTCAACAAGCTCTTGACAAAAATGGTCGGCATAATACTGGAATCATGCAGCGGATCGGAACTTGCTCTAGTGATCACCGAGTTTGAGTCACAGGGATGGTGTGTTGCTGCCTTGGGCGACAACGAAAGTGAGCCCATTGCCTTTGAGAACGGGCTACCTTTCTCTGATGTGGAAGATAAAATGGCCCAGCAGATCAGCAACTATACTCTTCGTACAAGAGAGCCAGTTCTAGTGCATAACGTCTTGGAGGATGATAGATTTACTAATCTTAGTGAAGCCTATACATCCCACCATCCATATGGCCGGTCCATAATCGTTTTACCAATCATTCAGGCTAAGAAATTCCTTGGGGTAATACATATTGAAGGGAAGCCTAATTCCTTTACCCAGCGCAATTTGGTACTTTTGCGTCTCGTTTGCAATCAAATGGGCATATCTCTTGCAAATGCATTTCTTTTCCAGGAGGTGCGGAAAGTAAGGTAGGTTCAGACCCTTAATTCTATGTGCGGATAATGGTATCAGCTCCGTACGACTGCAGAAATACGAGCTAACATGATACACTAGTGCTGCTAATGCTGCAATGGTAGAAGCACAAAAGCGTGCGCTGGTACAAGCTCGGGAAGCGGAGCATAAAGCTAAAGTCGCAGAAGTCGAAGCCAACCATAACGTTAAACTTAAGGAAGATGCAGCTAAGGCCAAATCTATCTTCCTTGCAAATATCTCGCATGACTTGCGCACGCCCATGACTGGAGTGATTGGATTATCGGAATTGCTGAAAGCTACCAAGCTGGACCCTAAACAGGACGTTTACGTTGAGTCAATCCGTGTTTGTGCGGACACGCTGCTTACATTAATCAATGATATTCTTGACTTTTCGAAACTTGAGGCCGGGAAGATGAAGGTTTCGATTGTTCCAATTAATCTCCGCCAAACAATCGCCGAAGTCGTTCGCGCACTCCGTTACACTCACCGGGAAAAGGGCCTTGAAACGGTCGAAGACCTTGATAGTATCGATCCCAATCTTCTTGTTATGGGCGATCCTGTCCGTTTGCATCAAATATTCATGAACTTGCTCAGCAACAGCTATAAATTCACTCCAAAGGGATCAGTTACAGTTCAAGCAATAGTCGAAGAGGATACTCCAGAGCAAATTCGCGTAACTTGCAAGGTTGCTGACACCGGAATCGGTATATCAGAAGAGCAGCTAGTTCGCTTGTTCAGACCTTTCTCTCAGGCAGACAGTTCTACCGCGCGATCATACGGCGGCAGCGGATTAGGATTGAGTATATGCAAAGCTATTATCGAGGATGTCCTTGGCGGAAGAATATGGCTGCAGTCTAAGGAAGGTGAGGGGACTACGGTAACGTTTACACTTGTCTTTAAGAAGGCGGGCAAGGATGTGGTTCCAAAAACTCCGTGGACTCAAGAACCAGGACAGAAACAACCACACGCCCATACATTACGGGATATTTCTCACATACCTCGCGACCACGTCAGGATTTGCATTGCAGAAGACAATCCTATTAACCAAAAGATTGCAGTCAGTTTCGTTCACCATCTAGGGCTATCAAGTGAAGTATATAGTGACGGTGAGCAAGCCGTCGAAGCCCTTAGACAGAGATCTAAGGATGGGAATCCATTCCATGTTGTCTTGATGGATGTCCAAATGCCGGTGCTAGACGGTTGTGATGCGACACGTAAGATTCGTCAAGACCCAGATCCAAATGTTAACGAAGTGCTTGTCATTGCGATGACTGCGAGTGCCATAGAAGGAGATCGCGAGAAGTGCATCGATGCTGGCATGAATAACTACCTAGCCAAGCCTGTGCGATCAGATGTTCTCAAAGGCATGCTCGACAGGTATCTCGCACCGCAGACTAAGGCATTACCAAAGAGGTCAAAATCATCTGCTGCTGCTTCGCGTCTGATAGAGTTACAAGCTTCAGCTCCGCCTAGACACCAACCTTCTCCACCGTTAAAGGACCGAATTGCAGAGGAAAAAAAGACCAAGGCTGCGGTAGATGCTGCAATTGCGGCCGCAACTAAAAGGCGAAAAGGGGCAGCGAATGGTAGCACTGTGACTGGGGAGAACAGCAAACCTACCAAGCCTACCGATCAGCCTACCGAGGAGACAAAGGTGGAAGAACTTAGGGAGGATGATGACAAGACGCCGACCCCAGAGCAGTGAAGTCTGCATAATATCACAGGTAAAAGAGATTTTCATTCTCAGACTCCGCAACAACGCTCCGTTAGGGACGAGGCCCCTCCGGCACAGGGTACTCAGCTTTGACATCCAGCATTACATGGGCAGCACCGCTTATGCCCTGAAATAACATGATAATATCACTTCTCTGATTATGGGCAGTATATATATTGTCTTACCCCCATACTGCTTTTACTTTGATTGTTTTACCAGCTTTAATGACATTTAACAACCTGGGATATGTTTATGGAGGATCATAACTCTTCCACATATACCATTATGACGAGGACATTGTATATATGGGACACTTTTCTTTCTCTTATCGAGAACGGGCAATGGTTATTCTGGCGGCAAAGGCTGTACTCGTCTTGGGAGGCTGTTGGTTTGGGATCAATGGTGAACAAAAGACCAAAAAAAATGGGTTTCTTTATAATGTAACTGCTTTCTCATGAATAAATACTATTCTTTCATTAATTATCTTGTTCTAATATACGTATTCATCGAGAGGAGGGGGAAAATATTCTCAAATAGATCTATGTCCAAAGATGCGGAATCTTTTGACTCCTCCATCGGGAATCATAGTAAGCTTGACATGCGTTATATGACGGCCGGCAACGAGGTTCTCCCCTTCGAATACATGTTCTGTATCAGCTTTGCACGCCTGTTCTCCCTTGACCAACTCAGTCCAGCCAGCATGGTCAAACGGCGGCTCACTGTCGCCGTTGTCCTTCCAGTCGATTGACTCGACACGCACCGCACGCGGGAAGTTCCCTCTAAAGTCCTTGGTATCGACCACCACCTTGACGACAGACCCAGGCAGTCCCAGCTTCACGATAGCCCAGTCGACATGGCCTTGTTGGCGCGAGCGGGCGGTCTCCCATCCGTCGCCCATGTCCTTCCCTCGTCCGGGTAGGAGGAGGTTGGAAGCCGGAGTAAAGTGTTGGTTGCTAGCAGAGAGAGCAAGACCACCCATCAGCGCAGACGAGAGCTCTTCTATGGGCGGAGTCTGGCTCTGAGTTGATGCCAGAGACGGCGGCAGGGCATGGCCGTATAGCCTCAGTCTGGAGAATCCGCCATCTGGATACATACGCACCCGGACATGCGTCAACGGGCCTGTCGGCTCCAGCAACTTCCACGCGTGACGCATCGAGGGACCGCATGGCTGTAGCGGGAGGATGGTCTCCCATTTAAAGTAGCTGTCACTGATCATTTCCTGCTCACTCGAGGATGATTCAGGGTCGGCGCCTGGCAGATATGCACCCTCGACAAGGACTTGCTCGCCATAGTTGCCCACAAAGTACGCAGTATCAATCTCGATTCCTTCGATGATTCCACTGCCTACGCCCAGCTTGACGAGCGCCCAGTCGTACTCGGCCGGGTTATGGCGCCTGGTCTCCCATCCGTCGTACCATGCTCCTGTATGCACGAAGACGCCTGGCTTATGGATCGGAGGGCCGGGTGTGAGCAGGTTCGATGCAGCAGCAAAGTACTCATCGCTACAGGCCAGGATCGTGGAGTTCAAGCTGGAAGATGCTAGATTGGTCGTCTTGGAGAAGCATTTGTCTATCTCCTCTCGTGGGACAGGGCTGACCTTGGTGGGCATGGTGGACTATACAAATATAACTATACAAGATGATATTGACACGACTTTTCGATATTTCGATTATATTATTCAATCATTCCAAATAGCCCCAAGGATAAGCTGCTCTACTTATTTATCTACCGAGGACGAAACGGCATATCCCGTGAGATTCTGGTGGAATATCGAGTTCATCTCGGAAGTCGCCGTGTGGGGAAGAAGTATGTTGAAGCTGATCCTAAGTTAACCTTTGAGGTTTGAATACGCTCATTCTGACTGGCTACTCTAGGCTCTATCAAACATTTGGGCTAAGATCGAGATTGTGTGATGATGCAATGTTTGTAACAAGGGCTCACCTCGTCTCCGCCATCTCCATCAAGGCTCCCTTTTTCTCTGCGCCAGGACTAGCTGAGGATATACATACTCCGTATATAAACAGATATACGCAGTTATAATGGCATCCGCGACTGGGATTCCGGAAGAAAGGCCGTCATCATTTCCAGATGGCGTGGAGAATGAACCGCTGCTCGGGCAGCCGGGAGCTGTCACCCAGCGAGAGGACCAGAATATCTTCACCAACCTGATTACTGGTATGCAGACAGTCGGACTGAACTGCTTGCTGACAATAGATGAATGAGCTAATCCGAGGTCTTTAGGAACGGCGGGACTGGCGCAGATCGGGATACTGGTCGTAAGTCTTATGGCTACGAATATCACCATCGAAAATGAAGGCTAACAAGCATTGACAAGACTGTGGCCCTCGTCTGGTCCGGAATCTTTACTCATGATCTCATATTCTTCTCGCCGCACCCGGTAAGTGACTCTCTGCGCGTAGACGGGTAGACCCTTTATATTGACAACGGCGACAGCTTCTCAACTCTGCAGCTATTTTGCTCACTGTCCAAGCAATCCTCGTCGTACAGCCGACCAGGACGCCCTCACAGAAGCGAACAGGCGCCCTCACGCACTTTGGATTCCTCGCTGTCGCAAACTTGGCCTTCATCTCCGGCCTCATCATCATCGAAATCAACAAACAGAGCCATCCGGAGTCCCGTTTCTCCTCCGTCCACGGCATCCTTGGTCTGATCACCTACATCACCATCTTCCTGCAGGCAGCCGTTGGCGTTGCACAATACTTCTTCCCAGAGACCGTCTTTGGTAGCGTTGAAAACGGAAAGAAGATATACAAATGGCACCGTGTGAGCGGATATGTGCTGTTTGTCATGGAATTGGCAGTCGTTATAGCTGCTACAAAGACGGATTATAATGTCAAGACTTTGCATATTGGATTCTGGCCTGTTACTATTGCAGCCTTTCTTACTTTTGCCGGAGTTGCTGCCAGAATCAAAAAGTTCAAACTACCAGCCTTTGGAAAACGATCTGCTACTCCGTGAAGAGCCTGAGGAGTTCACTCTCCTATATTTCAATATCATACGGATGATGTTTCTTTTCTTTCTTCCAATTATCCGTTTCAATCTCTCTCTTGTGGCCATAAGCTACGGAGCTTCTGGCCGTAGAGACACTGAATCAACATGTCTCTTTATCACTAGTTAAAATTCGGAAGATTACCAGCGACTCTAACATATATATATTCTTCTACCCTAGATCAATCATGATTTACCAGTAGTTGCTTATTGTAATTTTATATTGATATTTGCGTTTGTGGTAGTTAGTTACTTGGTTTGCATTCCCAACTCCAAAAAATCTTCAAAAAACCACTCGACGTCCAAACAACAAAATCCCCAACGACCGCGCATCTCACCACAAGCAGACCCCAATGAGGTCTTCCACGCTGTACGTATGCCTCAATTGCAGGTTAACACTTAGAACACCAAGTCAAAACGCCGCCTTTTCTCGCCGCGTTCTCAGCACTGCGTCATCTCGACCGCCTACAGCACCAAAGCCAATCCCCAATGTCCGACACATTCGTGAAAATGCGGAGCTATACTCCCAAAACTGCATCGATCGCAATTATAAACCTGTCGCAGACTATCCGCCGCGAATACAATCTTTAGCCAAGGAAGCGTCTGATTTGCAACACGCTCTAAAGCATCCACGGGCGAGGATAAAGCAGGTCGAAAAGGAAATAGCTAAGCTTGCTACACTTACTGCGCGTCAGTCGCAACATAAACAGACTGGAAAACAGGAAGAAACGGGACAGGATGGAGTGACGTTGGTCGAGGAGGCGGATAACAATGCAGCACTTGAGGCACTTCGACTAGAAGCAAAGGAGCTTAAGGATGCCTCCCAACAAATCATGGACCGCAGGGAGAATTGTATAGAAGAAATTCAGCAATTGGCATTGTCACTACCGAATCTTACCTCTAAGGACACTCCAATCGGAGATGTGCCACGGATTGTCGCATACATCAATTTTGACCCTCAATCACCTCCCTCATATACCTCACCAGCGGCACACCCTTCTTCTAACCTACGATCCCACGTCTCTATCGGAACTGAATTGGGGCTAATAGATTTTTCAAGCTCTGCAACCTCAACAGGGTGGGGATGGTACTTCCTCACTAACGAAGGCTGTCTGCTTGAACACGCTCTCGTTCAGTACGCTCTCAGTACAGCTCATAAAAAGGGCTGGAAACCTGTCTCTCCACCGAGTGTTGTCTACTCCCATATTGCTGAAGCTTGCGGTTTTCAACCTCGAGATGCAAATAACGAGCAGCAAATTTGGTCTATCCAGCAGACGGAGAGGGACAGAGCTGCCCATAAGCCTCAGCGCAGCTTAACAGGAACTGCCGAGATCCCTCTCGCTGCGATGTATGCATCACAAGAAATCCAAGCTGGGCAGCTTCCTATAAAGCTTGTGGGAGCAAGCAGGTGCTATCGAGCAGAGGCTGGAGCAAGAGGCGTTGATACCAAGGGATTATACCGCGTACATGAATTTACCAAAGTGGAATTATTTGCCTGGGCTGACAACATCGAGTGTAATTCCACGAGCACAGTTTCCAACGAGATAACATCGACAACTGTCTTTGAGGAAATGCTTTCCATTCAAACAGATATCCTCTCCTCACTCAACCTTCCCTGCCGAGTATTGGAAATGTCCTCTTCGGATCTTGGTGCAAGCGCAGCTCGAAAAAGAGATATAGAAGTTTTATTCCCATCTAGAATACCGAGTGATTCTAACAACTCATCGGTACTGGACCCTGAATACAGTGGATGGGGAGAAGTTACTTCTACCTCAATATGTACGGATTATCAAAGCAGGCGACTTGGAACAAGGGTTCGTGGCAGCGGGGGAGAGTCAAGATACCCACATACTGTGAATGGCACTGCCATGGCTGTTCCGAGAGTTCTAGCTGCTATACTGGAACATGGCTGGGATGAGAAACTAGGTGGTGTCGTTATTCCTGAAGTACTGAGGCCCTGGATGGGAGGAATAGAGGTTATCGCGAAGAATAAATAAAGGTATAGAATAACGAATCTCTGTAAAATATATGTACTTTATAATGTGACATTTGGCATCCTGATTAGTTAACTCTATCCCGTTAACATATCTTATAGAAACCGCCCCTGTTTCTCCCTGCCATGTTCTCCTCTATCACCTCTGATCCACGCCAATCCATGTAGTTTAAGAGGAGTTCATCTCTTAATAGCTATGATGTATGCCAACGACGCCTATATACCGCCATGGTTTAGCTTGCCGCCGAGTTTGTTTCTATTTCCAACGTTAAGACTCTACAGTCATTTTTACTTGATTCACTTGCCTGCTGCTGGGAGGTATTACACCTCCAGATACGAATAAATGAAATCTGGATCGCTATATCACTTTTTCTTGCCTGATTTTTAGGCGGGTATTCTGGGGCTTCGGTCTTGAAGATCTTGTTGTGGCACAAAATAAAAGCCCTAGTTTATATACCCGCATAACCTCTTAATATATATTGTGTGTGCAAGCCGTAAGACCATAGTCTTAGAAGTTACACCTTTATATCCTGTTAATCATAAGCCATATAATCACTCTGATACATATTGGCCATACTATGTAGTCAAATGGATGTCGTCACAGAGCCTCAACTTGGACCTCGGGCTGAGTCAGCCGCACTGCGGACTATCTATAATCCGGCAGCCTCAACTAACTGGTGACTAATAAAGTATCACGTGTAACAAGATGACATAATAAAACTCGCGGTAATTAAGCGCGCTACTTTCTAAAATATCAAACCTCAAGGACGCAGAAAACTCAGGCTACATTTTCAAAAAGCCCCCTTGCCAACCCCATACCCGCGTACGGATGGGAGTTGATTGCATCCAGAAGTTGTCAAGGACAATCAACCTAGGTTCGCTTGTATCCAACAATCAATCCTTTAAAACTTGGACCTGCCCTGTTATAGAGGCACCCTATTATGGAAGACCCTCTCTATCCTTACATCATAGATCATAGTATAGCAGGGTGTATTCCGTCCACCCGATCGCCACTCTAAGATGCACCTCTCTTCTGTGCCCCCCGAGACGCTAGCCACATAGACGATGTTAAGCGTTTAGTAGAGCTAGATAATGATGAAGAGACCCCATTCCCTTCTTGGATTTAGGGAATATAAAATATTCGTTTGACGATAAGTAGTATGTCCAAGACCGAAGACGCCATGCTTACTTTAAGGTATAAGTGAAGATAAAACATTAAGATAGCATCAGCGCGCAACAAACTGACAACTGATATATATGAAACAAAGATTCGTAAAGACATTCACACATAGCACTTGATATTAATATATGAAAACAAAATGAAAAAAGAAGATGGATGGACACGAAACCGGGGATGCGTTGTTAATAGTGAATCGAATGAAAGACCAGCTCAAACATGCATGAGCCATATTACTTTCTACTATGCAAGTATATCATTAATACCAAGGAAGATCAGCTTCCTCGATTCTCGTACAAGTCAAATAGGTCACTAGTGGCCTAGAAGATGATCCATCACCTTCGCCGCAAGAGCTTTTCAAGTCCAGCTCGAGAAAGTTTCGCATTAGCGGCTTGACAATTTCCTTTGCAAGACGTTTCAGTTCGTCCATTTTGCTCTCGAATCTCTTTAGATTTTCGCGAGAGTAGGAGGTTGGATGGAGTTTAAGGAAGCGTTTGATTTCATCGTGGGTTAGGTAAGCCTGCGAGTTGGAAGATCCGATGAGTCTGTATGTTCGGCCAATACAGAAGGGAACTTGCGGTTTGGTATCGGTCCCATTGGCGGTCGAGTTTCCGGTAGAAGGGCGGGCAGCGGTGGTGTTGGTGTTTGAGCGACGGGATGAGGCTGAGTTGGAAGTATTATGTTGCCGTCCACTGCCGCTGCTTCCGCCAACGGTGGATAGGTTCCGGGTTGAAGCTGAAGGGTTGGCACTTCTACTCTCTCTCGGAGTGCTCCGCGTTGATGTAGGAGCAGCAGGACTTTTTAATATCGATGACGGAGGAGGCGTCGTGTTATCAACCAGCCATTGCCGGAATAGGGAGACGGCCAGCCAGTCCAGGTAGTTATTGAAGGGAGTAACTCGTTCGCCCCGTGAAGTCGTCAGGGTCAGACGGAAAAGCTTCGATTCCGCCCTTCTGATTGCGTCTTGTAGATCTTCGACTTTATCTTCTATCAAGTCTAGTACTGCATCCGGGAGTGGCGACTTGTGGTCTCGGCCAACTAGTGGCAGAGAGACAGGCCAGTCACCCACGATATGAATAAGAGCTTCTGTAAAAATAACACGGCTGCGGGCCTGGTATCCAAGCCTGATGTAGCTTGCTGGAAATTTCGCAATATGCTTGTATAGTGAAGAGGAGAAGCGCAATAGATGATAGTCCACCCGGGGGCCGGTGACGGTTAGGGCGTCATACATATCAGCCAGCGCAATCAACGACTTACACTGAGAATACGCTATGGTGATATTGTGCGGGTTTAACTGTGGCGCGTAGTTATAAAAGATACGAAAGAGGTTGTCGTAGTCACGGATCGTAGGGTCGACCGGTGCAGCCTCCTCGGGCTGCGTAGCCAGAGGCAAGTGAAGAGCAGATTGGATCCCCGTCAGATTTGCCATTGACCGAAAGAACCCTTGCTGAGGAGGTAGAGGCTTGTTTCGACTCGGTAGCGGTGGGTGAGTCTGCTGCGCAGCCTGTCCAAACACAGAGCTGCTAATACACGGCGGCTATCCAGTATGTTAGCTTGCATATACACATATATTCAGTTCGGGGTACATACCTTCTGCACGAGAATAGGCACCTCATCCCCTTCCCTGTTCTCCCAGTCCAGCTCGTACCTCCATTTCGTCTTTGTCGGTGGTACACCATTGCGATGCGTACACGACCTTCTTGACTCGACACTGGTCCGAGGCACATCGTCTTCATCTTCCTCGTCATGATTCTCACCAAGCTCATACACGACTTCCAGCCCTGGCTGACTAGTCACATCTACCCCGGGTCGATTGGATATATTAGCAGTGGGAGCTGCCGCAGAGATCTCGCGTTGTGCCTGCACGCTCGACCACTCGTCACTCGTCGAAGCCTCGAAAAAACCCGAGTTCTGCGCCAGTATCAGTCGATGCAGAAGGTACCTGCGCTCCTGGTCCGCCGCACGAATCACTATCTCCACATCTCCGGTGGTAGAGAAGATGGGGAACTCATTTAGTTGTGGGTGAGACGAACCGCCAGCGTGAGAGCGGCTACCGAAACGATGATGGCGTCTCGACCGGCGCGACGAAGTCACTGACGACGGACCACGGGAAGTAGCCGTGGATGGTTCCATGGCCGCCGGTTGCGAAACCATGGGTGAAGACAAAGCTCTTTTCCCCCCCCTTTGTTTACTTATATAAAAAAACAATGGACCGCTTCTCTCGTGGATCGAGTGGGGAGAGGAAACGAGGGTCGTCTCAGCAGTGGACGGGGTCGAACATGGTCTCAGCGAAATGTCTTAAATATGGCCGCCACGACAGAGAGACGACAGAGGCTGGTCTCTTCCGACGATGACAGCAGGCGCGGTAACTTTCTTGTCTTCTAAAGAATAGATGTCAACTTGTTGTTGACGATGAAATAACTTGAAACCAAAGGCCGAGGCGCTGAAACGGAGGCGCGTAACCGGGATTGCCTTCAGGGGGGTCCCTTCAGGGCCTTTCCAGACAGCTTTCGCCAACAATCCGCCGTAGAGAAACAGGATGGGGCGAGTCTGTATAGTTGTTTGGCAGTAGATGTTGACGTCGAGTGAGGCTGTGCAGCGTTTTTGATGGAAAACGTCCGAGGCCAGGCCACCGATATTACAACCAGTTAATATATCAGACGAAAAGAGGCCCGCCTGCTGGTATGTTCGAGCCGGCGCGAGGCACAGCTGAAGAGCTCTTCGAGGCTTGCGGCGCAGTGTCGAATCGTTATGATGAGTCCGTCAGTCGCAGGGGAACTCGATCCACCGGGAGGCAACGAGAACCTATAAAAACCGGCTGTGGCTGCATCTCAAGGCGTTTCCTTGCCTTAGTCTCATGCAGTCCCAGCAGGCATTTCCGGGTTTTATGTCTTCACATGAACGGCGGAGAGAATCGAGCCAGTTGAGGTTGACATGTCTAGAAGCAAGATATAGTATATCGTGGTTTATATATGTGATATCCAGTTTCTTCAGGAGAGAAGGGAAGAGGCAATATATTATTTCCGCAAGGTGTGTATATATATTTATAGCGACAGTCGTGGTGTCGAAAAGGTGTACATGTCTTCATCAGAAAAAGGTCGTTCAACGAAGCTCGAGATTGAGCCACGTTATAAAATAAGAATAAGCAAAAAGGTTTGAGGCGAAAAGGGAGGCCGTTGAGCGGTAGAGAAGAAAAAGGAATAAAAAACTGGACAAGTAGCCAGTGGATGTACGAAGAGGAATTAATATTTTCGACAAAAGGATGACCTTGTCTAACATCTCCTCCAGTCGAGATAGACGACCTGCCTGACCGTTCCGTCGGCGCCATCCTCCCGGCTCATCTCTCCGGTGGCATTGTCGTTGTCGCTGTCCATACGAACATCGGTGTTGATGTTGAATGGGTAACTTTCGCCGCATGGAGACCAGACTCTCTTGTTTGCTTCATCATCGAGACGGTAGTTGCCTCTACGTGGGCCAGAGATGCCGGTAGCGGTGAATGCCTGAAGGGCTAGGGTTAGTTGATACCGGACTGTGAAGAGGGGGGGGGGGGAGAGAAGAAGGTAATAGGGTAACATACCTGATCGGGGCTTCCAGAGAAGTAGTAGATGCTTCCGTGCCTACCGGTCACACCAGAGTCCAAACGAGCAGAGCCATAGTAGGTTGCACCGGAGACGGAGAACTGGTAACCATTGCGAGCAGCGACTTGGAGGTTCACCTGGCAGTTGGTGCGCTCATCGGCAGGAGAAGTTTTGGAGCTGATCTTTGCAGTGAGAGATTCATATTCGACAACAATAGATCTGCGGTCGTTGGCAACAGAGTATCTGACGGTCCTGGTGTCTGATGGACATCCACTTCCACCATGGTGTCTCTCGGTCAGAGTAAGAACATCTGGTATATCAGTCTCAGGTGTAGTGTCTGGAATTGCAAGGCCGATTGCCTGGGAGGCGGCAAGGCCAAGGAGAGCAATAGAAAGCTTCATGGTATATATATAAGTATAATGTATGAATATTGAGATCAGTCCTGATGACTATGCAGAATCGAGACCTGAATGATGTGCGGTGGAGAAGGGAATCTGCAGGATCTCTGATGGAAATGTGGGGAGTTTATATCTTCAGTCAGTATATAGGGAGATGGAATTATAAGTGGTTGATGGAGGCTGCATCTTCTGCAGCTTTCAACCCCGACATCGCAAGGATATCCACGGCCTTTCATGTCTTGATACTGGGAAATATTCGTTGGCACCATGCACTATCCAGTGCTACCTCCTCTAGTCCAGCCATAGAGCGAAGACCAACAATCCAGCAGGTCGAAGCGCATGAACCGGGTGGATGCGCTTCTTGTCTAGGCCCTGCGGAGCGGGAAGGGGGTTGGAGGCAAACAAACAGTGAAGAAGAGATAGAATTGGGGAAAAAAAAGAAAGCTAGTGTGAGAACAGTATTCTCCTCGGAATGACACCCTAATCGATATAGAAACCCAAATATATTGCATCGGGCTCGTGGAGGGGCACATATATTTAAAAGTATCCTCCGGGTGCAACAATATAAGATTATTGGGACGTGGGGACATCGCATGCGAGGCTTTTTGCCCTGAGGTTTATATATCAAATTCCCTGCCAATATTAAACGGTAACGGGCGTATACATATATTGGAAGGTAGGATTTCCAGTCTAGCGGTGATTTCCGCAGGGATTGATGGCACCACGTTAGCGATTGCCAATATCAAGGGTATTCATGTATATGTATATGCAGCAGGGCAAGCAGACGGCAGGCCAAAGGTAGCAGCACTCTCATACTCAGGTATATTCTACAGCCATAAACCCGTGATACGTTCTCAGTCTCTAGTCTTCCTGAAGAACCGGCTTTTTGCTGTCATTCAAAGAGAGTCATCTCTTTAAAGTCTGCTGGCAGAATAGTGAGTTTTGCACTCGGCTAGCAGAGCCAAAATAACAGGCAGATGCCTGCACCAGAAGGCCATGTGTATAGGGATTATATTGAAACCGGCCAGGGGTCCAGGAGAACCAACGCGGATCAAGATATCTTCATCGTATGAAGACCGAACGCTGTTCTCTCGTGTTTATATTAAGCTTCTTATTTTGCGTGTTGCAGAACAGGAACAGGGGGGAATGGGTTTGTGATTTCCCAGCCTACTATGTAAAACAGGATACGAGCAGATGGCCTGCCGTCCCTCTGATTGGGCTTGTGAGGCCGGAAGATGTGCTGGAAGAATGCTCTGTGGAGTAAAGTAATACGTTCAAAAGAGTCTTTTTACAACTTTTCCATCTGCAAGTAATAACTGGAGGGTTCCTGGCTGAGTCAGCACATCCTCTGGTGGGTGCTTTTTTTGCATGCCATGGACGAGGGATCGATCTCGACAACAACCTGGATGATAAATACTTAGGAGGATATACTGAACAAGACAGCATGGGTTGGGCATGAGGCAAAGCCCCCGGACAAGGTTATTTTTAACAGTGACGATCATGTACGTGCGTGTGGAGAGCCATGGAGACGGAGATGTAGGGATTGACAACCAGCTAGTTAAGTCGACCGTTCGACGTTTAGCGGGAGAGAAACAAGATAATAGACATACGAAGGTGGTGATGGAGACACATTCTCGGTCTACAAGGTTGTGAGCAAGGGTCGGTTCAGTTGCCTTCTTTTTTCTTCTTTCCCCCTTCTCAAACACACTTCTATCGTATACTAAAAGAGACTTATACTAGTTGACAATGCCATGATCTAAACGAGCTTCAACTCTATTCTCACCGCAAGGACGGGATACTACCATCAAACTATCCAATCCTGTGGTTCTAACAGGGTGCAACTCCGTCAGGACATGCATGGAGTATTAATTACTACCACAGATACTAGAGAGCCATTATCTCGCCCTCTTAATGAGGCATGGGGCCCTGCCAGTGTCGTGGATCAGGTATTATTACCAGGCTCAGGGGTTCCCCTCATTCCCCAGACGCACCGATTATGCAGCAGGATGGCTCCCTTTTGGTGGCGCTCTTTTTTTTCACTTATACCTATGCAGATATTCAGGTAAAGGGAGTCTGCCACGTCTAGCAAACCTTGCTCGATGCTACTATGTATTGATCCATCACATGCTATGGCATACTACCACGGCTCGCCTTCGGCCTGAAAGAATACGTCAGTTCAAATGAAAGAGGGTGCCTGGTGATGATGTTTCTCAACCTCAATACCTGTGACTCGGCCAACATAGCCTTTAGTGTTTACAAGGAGCATTCTACTGCATCGGGTCTGTGACAGGGAAGGCCCAGGCTAGGAGTGCTTGGGGGGGCTATATCGGGAGCTGAGAGGATAAAGAAGAGAAAGGTCAGGCCAGGCAAAGCAAAGTAAGACAAGGGATAAACAGGAGAAATAGCAAGATGGTCATCTGCTTGATAACTAGACTTACTCCCCTGTTTAGCCTCTAATGCACAACAATGAGAAGAACAAGAAAGAAAAAGCGAAGAAGGAAATATAATCTCAGGTGTGAGCGACTCAATAAACGCCAAAGCTTAGAAACGTGAAAAAAAAAGAAAGAAGAAATCTGCAGTATGGGATATGCCTTAGTACAAGGACAAAAGGAAATTAGATGAATGAGGAACAGAAGAGGCCTTGAGTTAAGCCAGAAACATGGAACGCTGAGAAAAAAAATATAAGTAGAGAAAAAAGAGGAATAATTGAAGGTGAAGGCACGATTGATTAATAGTGAGTAGAAGAAAGGTATGAGAAGTCTGGACAAAGGAAAAGCGTTGAATGCTGAGCAACCATTAAAACGCTACCTCCAGTTGACGAGCGAGTCGCAGCCAGATCGCTTGGTAACAGTCAATGGTATCAAGAGGTCATCAATCGTAGCCTTAGTGGCAATTATTGTATGCGAGAAAGGAAAGAAGAAAAAGGGTAGAGCACAAAATAATTAGCCACACGAATTGAAACTCGCGCACGGTGGGAGAAGTGAGGAAATAATATGCGAGTTCGAGAATGCTGAAAGGGTTATGGTTTACTGGGACGAAGATGTGGGGATAATGAACAGCAGAGATGAAATTATTGACGGAATAGACACAGGATGCATGTTATCAGAGAGGCGAACGGGAGGAAAGTTGTGGCTGTGGGGAAGGGGGGTTAGAACACGGCAGAGAGTCCGTTTCTGGAGTGTCGTCGACTGAACCGTTTCTTTGATTTCGAATCACCTTCTGGAGACGGTTTGGATAAAGCGTTTCTTCCGCTTGATTGAGGGTACTGGCTCGTAGGGGAGTCGTCGGCATGGTTTAGGGTGTTTGCATGGCTCGATACGCCGGAAGAAAGATCTCTGAACCCGTCATCGCCCGTGTAAGAATTGGGAGTGGAGTAGACTGAGGCCAGTTCTTTTGCACGGTCCAATACTTCCATCCACTCTTGCGTGGCAACTGTAGAGGCAGCCGCGTCACTGCTCGGTTTAGTCTCCTCGAAGACATGATGCTTATCACGCTGGGGAGAGCCAAAGATAGCGAAGTCAGTAAAGGCTTTTAAAACGGCAGCTGCTTTGGTTTGTTTCTGGCTACTAACCGTATCTATTACCCAGGATGAATGCCCTTTGGAGTCAGTTATACTCCGGTACTGTGTATCTGGATTCAAAAGCAAGATGTCCATTTTTGGCCGTTTATCCTCGCCACCGGCCGGCACGATGATTACCCTGCCAGCGGAGGTAACCAGGACCAATCGTTGACGCTTCTTAGTAGCAGACCCGCCGAAGAAACGGGATAATTTCTTCGGCGTATCGCCATCCCCAGCGCCGTTTTTATTTTGAGAACGGGGAGCCGAGGACGTGGATACCGTTAGGTTTCCCAGCTTTAATATACGCTCATTAGTTCGGGTCAAAACAGGGGACCATTCAATATCAAGTTGCGAGGGTGGAGGAAGCTCAGTAATCACGGAGGGGTATGACCTGTTCTGAGGCGTAGAAGAGGCCTGGAAGCCCGCAGAAGGTTTCACATTGATATTTGGAGGATAACTGTCATCATCCTCTGGACCGTTGAGTTTGATAGGCTCCGTTGGTGGTGAATACGCCTTTAGTCTGGGTGGTTTCTGTTTCCACAGCTCCCTGCCCCATACAATCCCTTCAAAAAACTGGTGGTTTTTAATATGCTCTATCTGCAGCCGTGTATTAGGGTCGTGAACAAGAAGTCTCTCCACCAGATCCCGAGCAGTAGGTGGGAAGCCCTTTGGAAATTCGTATTCAAGTGCGACAATCTTCTGAAAGGTGAGGTACTCGTTAGCGGCCTTGAATGGCGGCCTCCCGGCGAGTAGTTGAAATATAATACATCCAAATGCCCATAGATCACTCGCTTTGCATGCACTTTTGTTGGTGAGCAGCTCAGGACTGACGTACTCTGCCGTGCCAACAAAAGATCTTGCTCTGTCATCCTCAGGTGTATCCATTGAAGGGATCCCATTGCTATTTCCTCCTTCTTTCGGAGAAGGCATACTGAGGATCTTTGCGGTTCCAAAATCTGTGATCTTTACATGCATTTGGTTGTCCAAAAGGACGTTTTCTGGCTTGAGGTCTCTGTGGATGACCCCACGCCGGTGCATGTATCCAATTGTATCCAAAATCTGTGCACCATAGAACTTGGTGCATTCTTCGTCAAATGTGCCCATCCGTTTGAGAACGCCCAACAGCTCACCACTCCCCGCAAGGTCCAGAACAAAGTATAACGATCGCTCATCCTGGAAGGTGTAGTATAGCCGAACCACTCCGGGGTGATCCGTTAGGCGGTTTAACGTATCTTTTTCGATGTTTACATACTTGACCTTCTTCTCCTTTATTATGTGTCGTTTATCGAGTATCTTGATCGCATATTCCTTAAGTGTCTGGCGGTCTGTGGCAGCCACAACCTGACTGTAGGAGCCTTCACCGAGTGTGCGGCCAAACACAAAGTCCCTAACCCCTTTTTTCACGTATCTAGCAACGGGCTTTCCGCTCGCGTCGATCTCTTGGTGCACGCCCACAGCGGCTCCACGCTCCTGCCATTCTTCCGAGCTATGGAGCGGAGCATTTTCGTTTCCGTAGGAGGCTGAAACAGGTGGTATGAGTGGATTCGGTGCTCTGCGGGAGCTCTGCCTGGGCGGTAAGGGTGCACCTCCTCGGAAGGCCTTTGCAGGCGCATAGGACCTGTCAGTGTGTCCATCGTCCCGAGGCAAAACTCCAGCTTGGAGGGCTGCGGAGCCACCACGAGAGTCGATTCTTGACGGGTACTCCGTGGCAGAAGCGGAGGAATCTGTTCGAAGGCGGTAGGGACCACCGCGCGAGGACACTTGATGGCTCGGCGGAAGGGACACAGACTGGCGAGTGGAATGATGAGCCATGTTGGGCGGTACGCTAGATGAGGGTTGCTGCTGCTGGGGTGAATTTCTCAGGGAATCTTGAAGATTTGTATTTGAAGATGATGGTGCTTGCTGTGCTGCGAGGCTAGGTACAGCCCCTACTACCGACCGGTCATCAACGTGGGACTGTTCAGGTGCATGGACAACTTCAGCTGCGTCATGTTCCGCGGACGATAGTATTATAGAGGAGACCGAGGGGCCTTCTGATGTATTAGTAGAGGCATTGTCCGGATTGGCGATGCGTAGCCCCCCGAGGGACTGAGAAAGGCTCAGATCACCGTCCATAGTGACTTGTAACGAGATTGGTCGATCCAGGAGGGAAAGAAAGACGTAAGGAGGGCGGGCAGCCTGATTACGGCCCAAGAGAGAATAGGTGGAAAGGCGAGATGGGTTTATTGGCGAGTTATCAGGTGTGTTGCAAGCAAGAGCAAGCAGGGTAACCAGGCAAGCTGTCTCACAAGATCGAGACTATGCCGGTTACTCGCGAGATTGACAAGTGCATGGCAGGGCGATGTGAATAGGCCCTGTGTCTTTCCTTTATTTTTCTTATTTTTCCTCTTTTCAGCCGGGATATGTCGGTTCCTTATATGCCAACGACGGAACGCGAGGCTGGAGATTTGAGTGAAGAAGGCTGCCTGGGCGCGCAAATCAAGGTCCTCCTCCTGTCGTTGAGGTGTTCTCTCTTGCGAACTGTCGAGCTGCTTCAAGACGGGGTGGCGAGAAGTAGAGGACTGAAGCTCTCTCTCTATCAGCCAAACGAGGGCGCAGATAGGTATAAGTCAATGAGTGGTCTCGACTGCCAGATTCTCTGTGTCGATTGTCTCTGTTCCCGTTTTTTCTCTTATTATATCGTCGTCGTAGTAAAAAAGAAAAACGACGTCTTCTTCTCCTTTGACATTAACAAGGAAGATCGCAAGTCTGCTTATGTAATGACGACCTTTAGATCCCAACGAGAAAGACGAAGAAGAGAAAGACATGAAGAAGGCTCGGAGAAGCCAACAGCCAACAGATCTTCTTTCTCTCTCTCTCCACAGCTGGACCCTTTCGAGGTGGAAGGCCTGAGTCCCATGTAACTAGCTATTCGTCGCTAGTTAGCGATCAGAAAAATGAGGCGCTGCAACCAACAACTTCGTAAAAAAAGACTGGCAGGCTATTTAAAGCCAGGATGTCTCAGGAGTTGGTTAACCAGCCTGACTGCCGCGCCGTTGCAAGTCGTCAGATAAGACATACATCTTGTGGGAAGAGAGATATTCATCAACTCCGGCTTACTCAGTGGAAGAAAGCAGCCGGAAAGATGGTCCCTGTTTCCTCGTCCAAGGGGGGCTGAGTACCACGGATGACGCTTGCTTGAGCAAGGCAAGGGTCCCCCGTAGAAGCAGAAGCCATGTCATGATGCGCTGATATCTATCTGGCCCGTCGAAACCGGAATATGATGTGTTTCTTGTCATATTAATTGTCCCCGTCGGAGCACTATTTGAGTGTTTTATTTTATCACACCCTTTTTTGCGTCATCTTGGTTCTGTGGTCGCCTTCATCCAAGCCGAGAGCAAGTCTGGAGAGATACCAAGGATAGCATATAGCCTTCCTCGAGGATCAGGGCTGAGCTCTGTCTGTCTGTCTGTGGGCTACCGTTAGGATGCCAGCTTTCTATTATGGTGACGAAGAAGGGGGATATGCCAGTTACTGTGCTGCATTATTTTGATACCTCTATCCAGAGACATCTGGTCGGAACAAATGTCTTATATCCTTATCCCTTCATCTTTCTTACTGCTGACATCATGAAAGGCCCTACTAGCAGTCAATATTAGTAGGACTTCAATGCTTCATGTTCAATAGCTAGGAATGAGTCTTACCTTCACAACAAGCAGCCGTAGCCACAGCCTGGCTATAAACTCTTGAGGCCAAGCATCAAGCCTGTGAAATCTATTGAACATTCCAGTTCTCTTCCATCTACCACCCTTTTCATGGAAAAAGAGACCAGCGGGTGATGGCCATGTTCAAATAGATAAATCCAGGAAAGATAATTCAATTTCACTCTGAATTCTCTTTAAATATCACCACAAGGCGTTGACGACTAAGCAAATGTTTTCCTTATCACCTTTGTGGCCTCTTAACTAAATCTCAAATTACTCACTGCCTGGCAAAGATGGCCTACGGTCACTACCGTCTTCTCTCTCCTTCTCCTTCATTGCTCTGCTATATATATAAAATGCCACTCTACCAGATGCACCAAAGCTTTGCAATGGTCTCCTTCTCTTCATCTACCCTGGAAGTTTGCATATCGTATCTATCTATACCTAGGTATTCTTTTCTTTCGAATGATGGATCCCTCCTTTGTTCATAGGCAGTTCCCAACCTCGTATGTCAGGACGAAGCTGGACCCAGACCTCCAAGGTGAACATGCAAGCCAAGATGAAGCCGGTTCAGCCACGGCAAACCAAGAGATGATGTTTGATACTTCCTTCCTAGAAGTAGACAGCGTGAAGCGTGCAGTTTTGCAGCAGGGAGAAGAAGGCTGGGTTGGCGACATCAATAACCCCGACGAAGATTTCCTGCTTTGGCTTAGATCACTGCCTTCACCTCTGTCG